ATGTACACAAATACGCCGGATTTAACAAAAGGCCTGGATTCCAAGTTGATGCTTAAGCTGCCGTCAAGAAAAACACTAGGTATAATGCAGCTGTTCACTGCTACAAAAGCACTGGGTTCAAATCTGGAAAAAGAAGGCGTTATATTTTAGCAATTTGTAAAATCCAAGATTTGCATTCCTACCTGAATATGGAGCCAAAAACTCCGAGTTAAAACACCACACAAATCGCTAGCAGTTCCGTGTACACAAATACGCCCAATTTAACAAAAGCTCTGGATTCCAAGTTGTTGAAATTGCGTTAGTTGCGTGCACACAAATACACTGCCGTCAAGAAAAACACTGGGTACAATGCAGCGGTTCAAAGCTACAAAAACAATGGATTTTATGTGGCCTTATAACCAAGGAATGAAACCGAAACCCAAACCGAAACCGTAACCGTTTAAAACCGTTTCGTTTTTCAAAACCGAAACCGAAACCGTAACCGTTATCTTGACCTGAAAAGGAACGATACCGAAACCATTTCAATCACAGGTTTCAATCGGTTTCCAGAAATTTACAAAAATAATAAATAAAAATTTCTTTGAAATAAATGATTTATTTAACCAAAATCAGCAACATTTTGCTAAAATTCTTGTTAAGTAGTAAATAAGTAAGGCAAGGTAACTTTTCGCAAAAATCTGCTGATGACTTTGTTGTTGTGAATCGTTAACGGATAATTATATTTAAGTAGTTTCTTTCCCGTACGCAATGCGAGATCCCGCGTGTGCCCAAAATAACCCAGAAATCATGCCTGTACTCAACAAAATGGGTAATAGAGAGCGAAAATTCGAGCGTATTCGATCGTAAGTGTATTCTTCTTCCTGCCCGAAACAGCCCGAAATTTTCTACGAGTAAAAATGGATAAAGTGTCAAAGTGCATATCAGCTGTATTGTGTTTACATGTTGCCTGCATTTACTTGGTGCTTTTAAGGAAAATTGAATGGCCTGTTGATGTATTTTCAATCTATGTACTTAAAATCAAATTTGTGAAACCAAAATTCAATTTCCAAGTGTTTGCATTTAATACCATGTTCTGACCGACAACCAAAACATTTTTCCTTCATTTTCTTTTCATTTACAACCTTTAACTTTCATTCTTATTTTGCTTTGGCCAGGCAATTAACAATAAATCCGAAATGGCGTATTAAAGATGATAAAATATGACTTCCACTTCGATAAATAATCGAAAAAAACTAGTGAAGACACCGATTGGAATGAGTGGAAAGTGAGTTTTCAAGTAGTTTTCAGCGACAACTGGTTTTCGTTTAACAGATTTTATATGGACGAAAACACAAGTTTTAGGTCGAAAACCAGTTTTAGCAACGAAAACATGTTTTCGATGTCGGTCAGAACATGGTATAAGTGACAAAAACAAGAACAACGTGAATCAGCTGTTTCTCGACTTGTGGGCACGAAATGTGGGTTTTTGCGTTTCCGTACTTCTGAACTTTGTTCCATTTTTGAAAGAAAATGTTTCTCTTATTCTCTAATTACCAAATCCGGTCCGGATTGTTAGGGAAAGAACCTAGTGTTGATATTATCAGTGAACTGTAATTTTCGATTTTCTTTCCTCAACGTTTAAGACATTGTGATTTAAATAATATCAACAAAATTTCTGTGAAAAACCGAAACCGGAACGAAACCGAAACACTTGGCAAAACCGCAACCCAAACCGGAACGTTATTTTGAATCGGTTTCATTCCTTGCTTTATTACACACATTTTTAATTAGAATAAAACCGTCCCATTTATTTTTATAAAAAAGTTCTAAAAACCGGCATTTTGTTTTTAATAAGTATTAAGAAGTTTTTTTAAACTTAAATTCTTTGGAATAGTTTTTAGTTCATTGTGTGAAAATTTCAAATCGATCGATACACAAACGTCTGAGATATAGCGTGTTTAAATAATAATTTTGTAAAAATTTCCTATCACAGTATGATGTTTTAATTCGTTCAAACGAACGGAGTCGACGTGACGCGACGGAGCGTGGCGACTGGTATAGCCCGCTATAAAACGCTTTATAGCTCGGAGAAATCAAAAAAGTACCTTTTTTAACCGACTTCCAAAAAAAGGAAGAGGTTATCAGTTCGTCGGATTTTTATTTTTTTTTTATGTATGTTACCGCATAACTTTGGACCACGTCAACCGATTTCGATAATTCTTTTTGCATCGGAAAGGTAGTAGGTGGTCCCATACTTAGATCGGATCATGAGATATATATATATATATTTTTTTTATATGAGAGCTGAAGTCGGTTTTTTTTTTGCTAAAAATTACTTGTTTTATTAATGATTTATATGTAAAAAGACCTGATCTTTCGATTGAGATGACTTAAAACAATATTAAAAATGACCATAATTGAGAAAAATTACAAATAAAATTTCACCGTGAAAATGGGAAAATTTTGGAAAACGCATAGCACCATCGGATAGCCCGTACAAAAATCTATATATGTAAATCATGGTTTTTGAATTATTTTTCCTATTTTCTGTCTTTTCAGCTATTCGAAAACAAGCTTGTTTTGCACCGCTCAGCGCGCTTGGGACATTTTACATGAATCGCCTATGTAACTAAATTTCAGCGCCACCTGGCGGTAAATTTTTTTCGAAAGAATTATTTTTCCTGTTATCAATACATATTTTGAATCTGAGGATAATCGAACCATAAACGCGATTTTTAGTAATAACTCGACTCCAACGCCACCTGGCGGGTTTTTTTGCAATGGTATTGTTTTTCCTATTGTCAATACATATCTCAAATATGAGGCGAATCGGACCATAAATACGGGTTTTACTAATAACTCGACTTCAGCGCCACCTAGCGGTTGTTTTAATAGTTATTCTGCTATTCGGAAGGTAGAAAATTTCAAAAAACACATATCAAAAAAATCGGTCCAGCCGTTCTTGAGTTATAAATGGTGTAACTAACACGACTTTGTTTTATATATATACATAGATACAAAAAGAATAAATTGTATTCACCCACTAGAACTTGAAGGGAGATCTCCCAATGTGAGGAATTAAAGAGTAATCCCTTTGGCCTGATTTCGGAGCAATAGGAGAGATTTGTCCGTTTTGACCTCCTTTATAACTCGCTTAGGAGTTAAATCGGAGATCTCCTAAACGAGCAACAAACGAACACTCCCAGAAATTTTGTGTTATTGTGTTATTGGAAAAATTTATCATGAAAACAAAACATAATATTTCTTATTGAAAAAAGAAAAGCAGGACGCAATCAATTAAATGGGACAGCCAAAGTTAAGACTCGTCGGGTCTACGTAACCGGAACGACCCAGATTTATATCTGGCCAAGGACTGTCACTCCAGCAACACTCCCCAAAAGTCTTTGGGGAGTTTGTATGCTGTTACAACAACAACAACAACAACAACAACAACTCGTCGGTATGTATGACAATATTTGCATCAGCTTATTAATGGTTGCATTACTTAACTTAAAATGCATTTCAGATTGCGCTTTCATATATTTTCGCGTCCAGAACTTTTAATGGGTATCGGAAGAAAAGAGTGACCTTTACATATAAGGGCTGGTAAATTGCTTGAAGTGTCGCGTTGGGTACGAGCAAAAACGAATTAAACGAACCGCCTACCGACACTTACATACATAAGTCTGCATAAAATTCCTGTCTGAGAATGAGGTGAATACAAATCAAACACTCTCCAGGGAAGCATTGTCGTCACAATAATTTTATATTGTTCAACGTTCATATAATTTTTCTATATAATTATTCAATAAGCATTATTTATGTACATCCGTTTTACCTGTTTACTAGTGTAAGATGTCATATTAGCGTATATACATATGTATATGTGCATGTAAGTATGTGATAAAAAGAATTAATAAATGCTACGTATGTCAGCAAAATATTTTTATGTAAATCGCTTGTATTGAAGCTCCATGAGGAGGAATATAGGAGAATAGAAACGCTATATTTTACTCTTACAGGATGTTTGTGGGAGGACTCTGATGGGAGTACTCCTTTATTGGTCTTCCGGGAGGGATATAGGATGTTTTTCTATGTGCCCTCCCTCGTTGCCTTCTTGGGGGTTTCTGGGATATTTCTTTCTGTACTCTCTGATCGCTCATTTAGGAGGTCAAAGGGAATACTCGACCCCCTAGGACATTCCGTGTTAAAGGGATCATACAAAATAACACGCTTATACACAGAAGTATGGGGAGTAATGGGGAGTAATCGTAAACTCGCAAGGGAATAATCAACAAGCAATCGTACGATGCTCCCAAGTTCTACTGGGCAGTGCATTTCTTAGTCTTATTTATAGATAATGAAAACAAAAACGCCTGGACTTCCTCTTTGAAAACCTCACGCAATATCCCTTTTGTTTGCCATTATTTGCGCAAATTTTTCGTATTGCCCGTATTACCGGTCGCGAAAACACAGAAATCGAGAAAATTCATTTATGATGGCTTTTACAATCATGCACAGTATATTTTACTTAATTTTTTTTAAATAAAATTGTATTATTTAAACCCACGAAAATAACAATCGAAACGTTCTCCGTCATCAAATTTGCAACTTAGAAAAACGGAACTACGATTGAAATGTAGAATAGGTATAATCGTAAATTTCGAAGATTGATCGAAAGGAAACGGAACGCAGAATACCAAAGTTGCCAAACGGAGAAAATTTCGATTCGAGTCGAAATGCAGAATAGGGCTGAATAAATAAACAATTTGCTCCGTAGTCCATATGCTTACAGCTCGTGAGGCTCAAATCGGATAATTAATTTGCAGGTATATTCAAGAAATCGGCTCGAGAATGCACAAGAGCTTAGTTTTGTACTAGAGAATACATAATTACATTTAAGAAATGATATGAAAGAGTTACAATGTTTTAAATTATGTGGCTTCGTTTTTATGAGATTCTTGTACTGACAAGATAATGTAGGTCCCTACAATACAGAAGAGAAATAATACAAATGTTCATTTGCTTTGTTTGGAATTATTTTATTTTCATGTTTGTGCTTTTGATTATGACGGGTATCCGTATGGATTCACGTAATATCATAATTTTAAAAAATATAATTACATCAAATCGCGCTGTTTACGAATGCATTATTATTTTACATATAAGGTTTATCATGAAATAGACACACATTTATACAAATCTTTCCATTATCGTTCTTATTTTACTTGTCCTATTTGTGTAAGTATATATGTATGTAGGTATTTGAATGCATTCCAATTCTTTCATTCACAATTGTTAGTTTTATTTTTTAGAAGGGTTTATTTGATAAAGTTAAATTTAGTTCAATTCATAGAACAACATCTACAATAATAATACATTCAATTTAAAAAATATATATAAGCATACATACACATGGCATAGATATCACTACACAACTCGTTAAACATACACACAAGACATTTAAAACATTTATAGCTTAAATATAATTTAACACATAATATAAATTATTATTTTAGACACATATTCGAATATTCTTAATTAAACGTCACTTCACACAACAAAGCCATTAAAACACAGTTTCCTTATATTCTTCCACATAATAACATCTAAAATTAAGCTTTTACAATTACTAGAATGTACGAGTATTTAAACCATAACAAAAGCATCTTTTCCGCAAAACAAATAGGGAAATTGGTCAATCATCGTCTGCACAATGTCTTCTAAATATGGCCGCAATTGTTCAAAATGGCTCATATCCGTGAAGTCAATAGGAATCAGTGTTGGCCACCAGCAAATAGCCAAATTTTTACTATCCATGCTGTTTAATTTGGAATTCTCAGATACACTGTAATGAAAATATAACAGAAATATTTAAAATGGTATGCCACACAGGGTATTGTCGTTCCACCAAACTTACTGAACGAAATGTTCGAAAATGTACTTTAGGATCAAAAAATTCATGGGCGGTAATTTCTGTAATAAAGTCTTCAGTAATATCAATCGGCAGCTTCTATCAGTTTTTACTTCTACATTAACTTTAGATGAGCCAATGCCTCGTGAACCTTTAAAGAAAAGAAAATATAAATATTAGACTGCATCACCAAAAAAAGTTGCGGTTTTTCCGGCGGGATTACAAAGTTTATTATATTTTAAGACCTTCACCAAAATATTTGGGAAAAATATTAAGATTTAAGTGAGCTGGACCGATTTGAAAATACCTCCAAAAATGGAGTGTTTTATGAATAAAAATAGTTTTGTAAAGAACTTTTTGAAAAAACTCCCCTCAGATGACAAAAAAAAGAGTAAGTAAGCTTAAAAAAACAGCATAAAAATATTTTAAAATCTTTTCAACGGAATCGTAAGAATGAGATTTCTGATGCTGTTTTTTTACTTTTTTCAAAGATTGATTTACGAAAAACTTGAATAACTGGGCCAAAACTATTCTGATTTAAGACTTATGGGATCTCGGTAGAAAGGTATTTTCACACTGTTTTTTTTCTGTCCAAAAAAATATCATTCGTGTCGCAATTTTTTTTTTTTTCAAATACCAACACATCTTAATTCAACTTTGAATGACGTTCGTTCATCCTACCTTTCTCTTTCATCCTTTGAATGAGTTTATTAGCAAAGAAGTTAAAAGGGTGAGAAAATACTTTTCTACCGACACCTTTTAAGTCTAAATCAGAAGAGTTTAGGCTCAGTTATTCAAGTTTTTCTTATACCAATCTTTGAAAAAAGTTAAAAAACAGCATCAAAAATCTCATCATTACGATTCCGTTTAAATTTTCTTTAAATTTTTTTTAAAATATTTGTATGCAAATTTTTTAAGCTTAAACCGTTTTATCATTTGAAAAGATTTTTTAAAAAAAAAAATTTAAGAAACTATTTTTATTCATAAAAAACTCCATTTTTGGAGGTATTTTGAAATTTTTCGAAATATTTTGGTGGACTTCTTTAATAGATTTTATAATTCCAATGGATGCTTTCCATTTCCAGACAACCGGTCAGGTACGAGCATGATTTTTAATTTCGACCAAACTCAAATACATTGTTTGTTGGTCCAAATAATGAGACACGTATTTTTTCTTTTGGCTCGGAAAAATTTTTCGGCCGAATTAAACGCGATTTTGTTTTTCAGGCAAAAATCGATTATTCGAATTGACAGTGAGATTTTTTTTTTAATGCCCATAACTTTGTCAAAATTTAATAGATTCCAACAAAGTTTTTACTAAAATGTCAGTAATTCTTGTCACTTTAAGATAGAATGACATAATTATTGATTTTCATTATTTAAAATTCTTTATTAAACAATAAACAAAAAGTGCAATTTTTTTTTTTTATTTAATTTCTCAAAAAGTGTATTTTTTTTTTGTCTCAAACTTTTTTACCGGGAAAGAGACACTTTAAACTACAATCAACCCAAATCTCTAATAGCGAAGATTTTTTTTTCTGAGTTATGATTTTTTATAGAAAATATACGTTTTTGTGGTACATACTACAATATTCTTATATTGTTTAACTAAATGGAACATATGTATGTAATATATCAGCAAAAAGTACAGCCGTGATCATTTTTTGTGTATCAAATAGATATTAGAACATACTTTCCACCATACAGTTTCGATTATAAAAAGCGGGAAAATGTGATTTTGTATTTCAATTCAAGAATTCTGACATTTGAGTAAAAACATTGTTGGAATCTATTAAATTTTGATAAAGTTATGGGCATTTAAAAAAAAAAATTCTCACTGTCAATTCGAATAATCGATTTTTGCCTGAAAAACAAAATCGCGTTTAATTCGGCCGAAAATTTTTTCCGAGCCAAAAGAAAAAATACGTGTCTCATTATTTGGACCAACAAACAATGTATTTGAGTTTGGTCGAAATCATGCTCGTATCTGACCGGTTGTCTGGAAATGGAAAGCATCAATGGAAAAATAGTATCGATTTTTTTTTTGTATGGGGAGTGATGCAGTCTAATAAATATACATACTTATACTAATGAGAATGTACATTTTTACCTGCAATATCTTCAAGCTCCTTGATTATATCTTTGCTAAACAACGGGGGCAACCGCTTCGAAAAAAAGTCTTTCAACGCCGTTGCTACTGCATTTACTGGAATATCAAGAACATCAATAATCGTATGTGGATCTGGAAGAATTAAATTCATTTATAAATTAAGGAAACAAGCTTAACACTGCTGAATGGTAAATTGAAGGAATCAGAATAGTTTTCAACATAACTTAGAAAATAAACCTCCCGTCAAAGTTCTTAGTGCCTTTTTGGGCCAGTGATATTTTTCATTGAATTAAGCGCTGAAAGCCTAAAAAGCGCATAACACCTGAAAATGCTGGTGTGAGCTCTACTCTAAGAATTGGCAAACTCAAGATAAAAACGTTTAAATCGAACTTTCCATCATTTGTACAAATACATATTCAAATTTTTTTCTTTTTACTTGATCGTGGCCTTTTTTATGACGTGCAATCATGTAACGGCCACTGTGGGTGAGTAGTTAGAGGTACGTACTAGCATTCCGCATGACCCGGGTTCGATCCCCGGTCCAACCAACATCTAAATTAAAAATATTCCAACAGCAGTCGCCCCTCGGTAGGCAATGACAAACCTCCGATTGTATTTCTGCCAAGATAAAGCTTCTTAGCAAAAGTGTAAGCGCCAAAATATTAGGGGTATTTAGCAGAAGAGCTGATTAGCTCAAGCAACAACTTTGACAACATTTGTGGGTTTGAGCTAGGTCACTTGCTAATTATGGTGAACAAAACTATTACTATTACTATTAAACGGTATTACAATGATCATGAGCTTTTTAAGTGAGCTAGTGCAGGCCGTAGAGCTTGTTGAGTAATTCACGGAACTGTTTTCAAAATTTTCGTAACACCCCAAAATTCTCAACTTATTCTTAAAAAAAGAACATTTTTACATGACTTCCCGCACTAAACAATTTTAGGCTCAGTTATTTTTTACCGAATTTTAAGTTTGGTATGGATTTGGGTCGGCCGCAGTGGTGTAGTGGTAAGCAGTGCGCGCTTCCACTCCGCAGCCGCAGGATTCAAACCCTGGTCAAAGCAACATCGCAAAAATATAGAAAAAAGGTTTTTTCTTAACAGCGGTCGTCCCTCGGCATGCAATGGCAAACCTCCGAGTGTATTTCTGCCATGAAAAACAGCTTCTCATAAAAATACAATCGCCGTTCGGAGTCGGGGTAAAACCGTAGGTCCCTCCGCTTTGTGTGACAACATCAAGACGCACGCCACAAATCGGAGGAAAAGCTCGGCCAAACACTAACATATGTGTAAGCGCCAATCTATAATTATTATTATGGATTTGGAACGAAGAATATTTGTACTATTTAAAGAAATAATAAGTGTTGTGAGCACATTGTAAATGTGGAAATTTTTTGGAATAATTCAGAAGTTTACACAAATTTTTATTATTTTTCCCACTTGACAACATTTTTTTCCAAAATTTCAAAACAAAATAGTCTCTACAGTCAGTCATTACTTCAAAAATAATGTTCATTTCCTAGTTAAACTAGGTATCATTTATAAAAATCAATAGACAGTTTAGGAAGTTATGCATTTTCTTAAGATTTTTTAAAAATCACTTCGATGTAATTTCACAGAAAAATTTTATCAGTTGGATTTGAATCATTTTGAGATTTCAATATGTGCAAGTTCGTATAGAAAAATTAGTACAGTCAATAAAGCACTTAAGGTGGAAAAAACTCCATGAACTCCAGGATAAAAATGGCACCATGCTGTTCAGAAAACTAGTTTAATCAAAATAAGAAAATGTTGTATCTCTCAATTTGACAGGAAATATTTTCAATTAATTAAACTACTTCTACTAGCATGGACGCACAAATGGATAAATGTAGAATTACGCAAGTGGTCGTAATTTGTTGAATTGGTGAATGAAACTTTACTCCTACAAGGATTACTTCACGGCAGAAGTCGAAAACAACCCTCTGCACTTTGAAAGTGTCCCCAAATAACTGTTACTATTTAAGAGAAGAGAATAACCCACAAAAGAGAACTGGCGATTTTTTTTTAGATGTGTGCTCTCGCTCAGTGGGAAAGGGTTATTTGCATATAATTTCCGTTTCTGTTGGTCTCGGAAACTTATCGCTGGGAGAGAAAATATATGTTAGAGCGCGGTTACCCACGAGCGTGTACGTAGCGTACCGTAGAAGTGCGTAGAAACATATCAAATTTACTGTTGATAGAGAGAGCAACGTCAACGTCACGGTCATGCGGTGGCCGGGTTGCGTGATTTCAAATTCTTTTTGATTTAAAATCCGCTATCAATTAAGAAATATATTTGATTTTTGATTTGGTTTGTTGACCAAATAAAAAATTAAATTTATTTGTGATTTGATTTGTAGAGCGAATCAACTCGATTTGTGACTTTTCAACTAAATAATACTTTTTTCGTGCAACGCAAATAAGATATTAAAGTATCTTCCAACTTCCAGTTCTACGAAAATCTTCGGGATTTTCGATACTTCTTCGGGATTCTCTGGACTACATCGGAACTATTTGGTTTTTTTCGATACTACTTCGAGATTTTTCAAGATTCTCGGGCCTATATCAGGATTTTCGAGACTTCGTTTAGATTGTTGGAATATTCGGGACTACTTCGGGATTTTTAGACTATTTCGAGACTACTTCTTCGGGACTATTTCGGGATTTTCGGGACTACTTTGTAAGATCCCGATATAGTCCCGAAGATTCCGAAAATCCCCTGCCAAAGTGTCTTTGCCTAATGCAAATTTAAGCAGCTTATAAATAACCCACAGCAGAAAACACATAAGGATCGCACAGAGAGATTTGGAACGGTGAGAAACACATTTTGCTTGAGAGGTTTGTGTTTGTGTCAGTGATAAACACCATAAAATAATAAGTGGAGAGGGTTACTTCGATCTCTGTTTCATGGTGATTTAAAAAATCAAATCGGTTTTTTTTTTGTAAAGGCTACCAATTTTGAAAAACCCGGGTTTTTAGGACCGGTTACCAAATCCAAATTTTTTGTAAAGATGGATGTTTTCTTATACTTATTTACCACGGATAATTGATGTGAACAACGCCCTTTAGAGATAATCGAAAAATGCCCTGCATGAAATTGTTATTATTCCTTTGATAAACTAAAAACGTATACATATGTATATACATATTTAATACGCTTTGTTGTTGTAGCGGCTACAGAGTCTGTGGAAATCAACACTGACTCCCTGTGAATGCCGTTTATGACCTGTCGGTATGCTGCCAAGTCCAAAAGTTGTTTTATTAACCACTGGACTTCGTTCGCCGAAACCAAGTGTCTGTTCGGGTGCCCACGTCGGTGACACGGGGACCATTTGAGCCTTGCCGTGCAGTTGATGTTGTGGCGACATCAGAATGCATCCGGTCGCTGTCCGAAGTGCCACGTTTTGGCAAGTCTGTAGCTTCCTCCACTGCGTTCTACTAATCCCGGGCGACCAGACAGGCGCGGCATAGTTAAGAAAAGGCCGGCCAATTGCCTTGTATGTTGCCAATAACGTTTCTTTGTCTTTGCCACAGGTGCTGCAGGTAGCGACTAGAGGACATTGTTGCTTATTTGTAAGCGCCGAGAAGGAGAGCATACTGTCGAAGCTAACTCCAAAGGTTTTCGGGTTATTCATCATCGACGTGAATGCCCAGCTGCAGTCTGACCTCCTTCGTCTAGGTGGTAAAATGGGTTCCAAGGATTTTGTAGGGGAGAGGGTTAGGCTCATTGAAGTGAAGAAGCGAGAAAGTTCAGAGAGGTAACCGCTTACTTTCGAGCACAAGTCATCAGTTACATTCCCAGACGCCATTATCCAGCAGTCGTCAGCATAAGAGACCAGCGAGACTCCCTCTGGTGGTTGAGGAAGCTTTTAAATGTAATAATTAAACAGTAGTGGAAAAAGACACCACCCTGTGGGACCCCCAGTTTAATTTTCCTTAGCCTGCTTGTTTTGTCTCTAAAAATTGCTGATGAGCGTCGATCACTCAAATAATTCGCCGACCACCGTTTGAGTCTCCGTGGGAGAGAGGAAGCCTCAATGTGTTCTAGTAGCGTGGACTGACGGTGTCAAACGCCTTTGACAAATCCAACAGTACTAGGACTGTTCTCCCACAGGGTCGGTTACGGTTTGGACCACGTGTTAACTGAGTGTTTATGGCGTTAAGTGCTGTGCACTTTACGGAACCCAATCTAATGCCTCGTTGGGGTCAGGTGGCTCAGGTAATGCGCGAGTAGCAATGCCTCTACTGTCTTCGCTCCCTGGAAAAGGAGAGTTATCGGACTATAAGATAATGCTGGCCGGTTTCCCCGGTTTGAGCAGTGGTATTCTCGTCCCCATTTTCCGGGTAAAAGTCACCGAATACCATACGGTTTTCACCTCTGAGAAGCGCATCTATTACAGGGTGATATCTTGCCGGGCAGCTGGTGACAGGAGATATATAAACTTTAAATATTTCGAGTTCGACATCGCCGGACCGGATAGCAATACCCTGATATTCTAGGAAATAGCAGATGAGATTGCCAAGAACGCCATCAGTCTGTTCTCGAACAGACAATCTACATTCGTAGATCACTTCAACACTTGTACGGCGAAATAGACGATAATATGATTAGGCAGTTCACAGCAGTGTCAAAAACCGGACTAAAATGCTTGTGAGCCTACCAATTCGAGAAGTTAAAGGAAAACTAGGGCTGAAATTTCTATTTAACTTCGAAAAAAGCATTGACATCCTTTGTGATGTCTACTTTAACGCATAAAAAGGAGCTCCAACTGGAAACGCTAAGGACCTACCGATCTATGTGCGGCTCAACGACGGCGATATTAACCTAACCTAATTGGTCCCATCCCAAGTGGTGGGTCGCGGGAGGGTTACAGGTGGGACGCAACTCGGTCCTAAAACTAGTAAGAAACAATTGAATAAGCCAGCAGAAAATATAACAAAAACATAACATAACATTCAATACTGATATTGGCGTATTAGTTCAATTCAAACAGTCCCAAAAATCTCATTTATATTGTATTATGGGTCATTCCAGCGAAGACGACATCACAGGTCAAAAAATAAATTACACAGATTGCGTTTAAATCTGTGAGAATAGTAAAGCATGTATAATAATTCTTTGGAAATCAATTTTCATCGATTTATTTTTTAATATCTTCTCTATTTTTACTGTTAGTCTTTTCTCATCAAGGCATTTCTTGTGTATTGAAGATGGCAATGCTAATAACAATCATCACAAAAGAAAGTACAACTGAACAGTGATGAGTTATTAAAACTAGTAATTTTTAGCAAAAAAAAAACCGACTTCAACTCCCATATAAAAAAAATATATATATATATATATCTCATGATCCACTGATCGGATCTCAACCAGATTAGTATGGGACCACCTCTGAGACACTACCTTTCCGATGCAAAAAGAATTATCGAAATCGGTTGACGTGGTCCAAAGTTATGCGGTAACATACATAAAAAATAAAAAATAAATAAATATTCCGACGAACTGATAACCTCCTCCTTTTTTGGAAGTCGGTTAAAAATACTGTACGTCGTACAGTCGTCACAAGCTAAGGTTTTTTGTTTTAATTTTCAAATATAATAATGCCCATAAAGCATAAAATGGACCATAACATTCTATTAGCTACATACGAGGAAGGCGCTATGAACGAAATATTTAGTTTGTCTAAAATAACGAAACGAATACATCTACTCAGAGAGGCGGATGTTATCGTTGTCCAACCGGCACAGTTTACTTAATCTAAGTTTAAACTGTTTCTGTCTAAATTATATGTATAATTAAGTTGTATACTTTATTAGTTTCGTAGTAATCTGATAACTGACTTCCAGTGTTAACGTTTTGAAACTTGTCAAATTAATGGTTAAAGAGATATTAAAAAACGAGCAAAAACGAGTTAGAATGTCCCGCCCGACATTTTTTTCAACTGTAATCATATTATTTTTCTAAAAAATAAAATGGTGTCTATGTATTGATTTTGGATTCTGGTAGCTTTCTAGAAACAACATTTTTAGAAATCAGGCATTATATTAAGCTAATTGGAAAAGTTTCACTCTTTCTGATGAGCTATTTTTGCTTAATTGGTAATTTGTGTAAGTAAAACAAACGTGTTTCCTTCACTGCTTGCTCTACGTTTCGCTCCTTAGCATCCTCAGGTGCGAATATTTATTTTTAAAATTAACAAACAAAAAGAAGATACAAATAAACAATTATAAACAAAATAGGTGACATAGGTGGGATTGGAAATAAAACAACCTATTTTTCCACATATTTTACGTAATTTCATACTATCCCCGGCTAAAAGGAAACTTTTTCTGCCTGGCGGTAGGAAATTAAATTTAAGAGCCAGTCCAATGCATATATATTTGCAATATTTAAAGGTAAATTATATATATATTAGTAGGGATGCGATACCAAAAAGGTTTTTACTCGACCATGGACCGATGGATCGTGGAGTTATTACGATAAGGGAAGGTGTGTCACCACATGGAAAAGGTTGGTAGCCACTGATCTAGGTTATTTATTTATTTATTTATTTGATTACGACAGTTATTATTTTACACGCTGTATATAAATAGGCGGCCGCTGTGGTGTGGTGTTTAGCAGTGCGCGCTACCATTCCGCATGGCCTGGGTTCTAGCCCAGTTTCTGACCAACATAAAAAAAAAGTTTTTTTTTAAGTAATAGCGGTCGCCCCTCGGCAGGAAATGGCAAACCTCTGACTGTATTTTTGCCATGGAAACCAGCTTCTCATTAAAATGCAATCGAAGTTAGGAGTCGGCGTAAAACCGTAGGCCCCTACTCATTGTGTTACAACATCAAGGCGCACTTCACAAATCGGAGGAGAAGCTCGGCCATACACTAACATATGTGTAAGCGTCAATCCATTATTATTATTACATAGTTGAAGAGATTGAAGGTCTAGGTGATATGAATATACGTGCAGCATATTTTGCCGATATGACGTATGCTTGCCTATTTACACGGGACTTATCTTATCTTATCTTGGAAACGGGTTGGCTTTCCAAAACGGGACCAATCGAGATTTCAGCGAAAGTATATGGAATTTAGTCATGAAACTTGGTCAGGATGTTGGGGGAGGCTTTCTCTACATGAATGTATCACTCTCACAAAGTAGTTGCTAATAGTATTTAAGCAATTTGTTGTTAAATAATCTTCACTACCACCCCCCAATTTTTGTACAAAATGCCACTTATCAATTGTATTTTGGTTGATATACAATATCTTCAATGTTCACGTGCGTATTTTATACTTTTAATATTTACATATATATTCATCAATTAATTAACTAAAACGCGTTTATAAATCCGTTCACTCGTTTTTGCACTTTTCACAAACAAACAGAAATAACAATGGCCGACAGTAAGAGCAAATGTGTGCTGCCATACTTCTCGAAGCTATAAAATACAACTATAAACCATATCATTTTCGTTTTTGATCCAAAATTTTCGCCTGCTGGGCTTTTTATTATAAAATCGATACTTCGATAAATAATGAAAATTTTTAATAAAAAATCGCGCGATTTGTTATTAAAAATTTTCGCCTGCGGCGCTTTTTATTATAAAATCGATACTTCGATAAATAATGAAAATTTTTAATTAAAAATCGCGCGATTTTTTATGAAAAATTTTCGACCACGGCGCTTTTTATTATAAAATCGATACTTCAATAAATAATCAAAATTTGTAATTAAAAATCGCGCGATTTTTTATTAAAAATTTTCGCGGCGTATGTGCATTTTTTCATTGTTTCCGTTTTTTTTTTTTGCATTTTTTAGTATGTATGGCAGCACCGACATTTCAGTTCAGTTGGTGTACAAGGGAAAAAGTGAGGTTGAATTCGGTATTTTTCGCAACTTTAAATGCGAATTACTTAGAAACTATAAGCCTCCGGAGGGTGGGGTCTGCAGATTTAGAATCTGAAAAAGCTCCTCTATACTCCCTAATATTTTGTTTTTTCCAAAGCCTGGATCCGTTTTGGAAAATTTTCCCTTGGAAACTGTTTAACGAAACTTAATTGAAAAAGTTCTGTTCCGTATTTTTACGGGCTTTAATTATAAATTTTTTTACATTAATGCGCCACGTATAAAAGAATTAAAAATTAAAGGCCTTCAAGGAAATGGCAGAATTGAGTTTTGTTGCAAGCTCACATGGGAAATCTGCTTACGACGGGAAGAAAGTCTTCAACTCCCGACCTTACAACAAATTCGTACAGCCGAGGCCCTCTTCCAATGGGGTAAGAATAAAGAGAGAAAGAGGTGCTGCATGCTTCCAATGCGATTGCTGTAAAAAGAGCTGCTACTAGCTTCACAGTGGACTTTATTTTATATATGACTACGGGTCAATTACTTTAATCCTATTTTAACCCTCTGATACTGACTTGACCGAAATTTCCCTATTTTACTGACGTGTAGTCTCTAAGACACCAATTTTCCAGATCAAAATATATACATATGTTAGATATTTACTAATTAATCTTTTTCGATTTAAACTGGAGATTCTATCAATATTTGAAATACTCATTAATGAAATCTAGTGGCACACATTCCTTTAAACGCATTCTTAAGCTTGCTACCTTCTCTCTCCTTTCTCAATGGATTACTCATAACATATTTTAACTCATATTGTTCGTAAAACTGTCGGCAGTGTATATTATAAGTAGGGATGTTGCGAATGTGGAATTTTAGACATCCGCGGATGCGAATGCGGAATTGTTTTTTTTTAGTACTTGAATTTAAAAATTGGAACATTGTATTTAATAAAAACTTTTTGAAAGGTCGTAAATCAAACCTGCGCCACTATATAACTACTTGCTCGAGGCGACAAACTTCAAAAACTTGAAACTTGGCAAAATTGTAAATTCTTTTCGATTGACACTGCATCAGTTGAGGGGACTTTCAGTTATATTTATTTATTTTTATTGCGGTGTTATAATTACTTTTTGAGAATTTCATCGGGGCCGCAAATGTCAGATGTATCCTCCTGACTTTCATCTTCACAATCTAGCATCATGGCACAATCGTTGTTTAAACACCGTTTTTCTCGAAGGAATTCTTCATTCTCATTCGTTTGGTTGTTTCGGAATTTGTCACGTCATCAGCGTTTTTCGATTTTAGTTTTTGAAACTTTTAATGCTTTCTTCTGTGACTGGTTAGATATACGTCTGTGCACTTGCACAATATTCCAGGGACCGAAAATAACAGTTATTTTTTCCGAGTTAAATTTGGCATAATATTTTTTATTCCGAAATAAATGTCCTATCCGGATAATAAAGAAACCGCTTATCCAAATTAAACAAATTTGGTATCATATGAAAGAGGACTGAAATAGCTTGTAAACAGAAATAATGAACGAAGGTTACCGATTCTATTTATAATTTTTTTATAACTTAATACTAAAGAAATTCATGTAAATACATACCTGACCCAATGTTTGTTCTATGGTAATTAATTAACATTTTTTATTGAAATATTTTTCAATGTGTGGCTTTCCTCTTTTAGACATTTCAGTTTTAAAGCTATTTAAATCCTCTTTCATTGGACTTGTTTAATTTGCATAAGACACTCTGCAAACCATTACTGCAGAATGTTTTAGAGTGAAGCTGGCTCTTTCTGTATGACTACTGAAATTCATTAAAGCCGCCAAATGGCTGTAGGTTGCACGAGTTGTGGAATCAAAATGGCAAACTTTCTCAACTATCTCTTTACATAAGATTGTATCTGACTGTTTGATTATAAGCTAATTTCATCCATAAATATGTATTGTATTTTGAAGTGAATTGTTTTCGTTATTTTCTTGTTAAAACACATGTGTTATTTATTTTTGTTCCAGCAATAAAATATTAGAAAAATATTTTTAATTGGATATTTCACTTGTTTATGGCGCATATTTCTGACTTTTGAGTGCATATTATATGCGCATATTTTCGACTTTTTGGTGCATAAGATTCCGAGCCCTAGTCATTAGCAAGCATTATTGCATGCAACTCTGTAAGAGAAATATTGCTAAAAATTACCGTTGATTTCTTAGAATTTTCCTTGTGGAGGGTGTTGCGAATTTTATTCCATATAATGCATGAACATAACTGACTTTTATATGGAAGAAAATGCGAAACACCCTCCACAAAAAAATCTAAAAAATTAATTGTAATCTTTAGCGACTTGAAACTTGCACTTTATTGCACTCAAATTGAATGGGCTATAAAACCGCATAGTCTAAATCTTTCTAGGAAATCTTACTAAAAATATGGAAATTTTTATGAAAATTTTTAAAGTTTAATTAATTTTTGTGAACTTTCTGCAAGCTTTTAAACTTTTATATATATTTTATGGTATCTGATATAAATATATGGGTCATATTTTAAATGAAAATTATTAGCAATAAATAAATAAAGATAAGTTGCCAACAACATAATTTTGAATTTTGCTGCTATTATTTTGACCGCAACTGTATCTCTTACTTTGTTTTTATCGTATATTTTTATATAAATTAAAAAGTGTTGCCATGAAATAAACGAATCCAACGAAGCAAATCCAACAAAAACATATTTGGTGAATTTCGCAACTTTAACAACAAATTACTTAAAAACTATAAGAGTGCGCGAGTTGGGGTCTTCACTTTTAGAATCAAAATACCCCCCAATTTTTTTTTTCGTGTCGATTTTCACTAAAATTTTCCCACATCTTTTCCATTAATTTTCTTTAAAAAGTTTCCAAGATGCAGCACTTTAAAGAAAGCTATGTATGACGTTTTCTTAAAATTTAAGGGTTGGAAGGGTGATTATAATATACCTAAATGTAAACTAACCTTCTTCGAATTTTTGAAAAAGCAAATCGACATGTGCCCGACTACCTGGAACTCTATAAATTCCTTCAGAGTCAAGTCCTTCTTTTTCAATAAATTCAACACATCTTATAAGAAAAGTAGGAATTTCATCTTTCTCTGAGATTAATAGCTTTCCAAAATGAGATTCTGTGTTATCTGATAATCCTTTTAATGCTTGCTTCAACTTCCTTTTGTGTTTCTTTTCTTGTTCCTTTTCCTTTTCTTGCAATTTCCGGAGTCTGGCATTATCTTCCTTCAGTCGCCGTTTTTCCGTTTTTTCAAAGTCTTTCAAAGATTTCGGATTCATATTAAACTCAGGCAAATTTTCTGTCCCATACAAATTAATACTTTCAGGAACCATGGAATACTATAAAAGTTGAACAAAATTAGAAAATAGCAAAGTAAAGAAAGTATATATTTTCCTACATCTGGTGATTTATCATTTTTAACGAGTTCATTTGAGCAATGTTCGCCGGGCTTTTCTATAAGAAAATATATTATCTTATGCTAAAAATTATATCAAAGATTTGCCCTACTAGTATCAGTTGCAGTTCTATGATAGTGCTGAGGAATCTCCGGTGGGCTTACATAAGACCCAAACAATGGAACTCTCGGTGTTTGCACAGGAATAGCAATCTTTTTTTTCTTGGTTTTTTTGTTTGTTGGTGTTTTTTTATTAAGTTTGTAGTATGAACTGTTTTGCTGGCGCACCTTCCGTTCAGTTGAACTTGCACAGCTGTCAGACTCAGTGCAGTCTTCAAATATAAAAAACAACCTAATTAGTTACAAATTTCGAAATCAATAACAAAATAATACCTTCATTTTCATAAATCTGCTCATATTCAGCCAACTCTTCCGAGTCATCTTCGTCGCAATCCAATTGAGTATGATTAAAGTGAGTATAACGTTTAGAACATTTATCAACTTCTGAAGTGGGTAAAAAAGTGTCTCCCCCGAAATTCATTTTGGCTACAGCATCGCTTACTAGTTGAAAGTTTTTCATATTTAATTTTCCGGGTTGCTAAAACGAAATACATTTAGAGTTTCCAAAATTGTTTAGCTCAAAATCTAATTTATGTATGTATACCTTCAATGTTTGACTGGGGCCTTTTGGACGAATCTTATTTAAATTTGAATCAATGTGCCGACGACCGGTTGTATACGCATGTGTCGAACCACTGAAGTTATTCCAAATGGAATTTTTGTTTAAATTTCTTCGTGTTTCATTCTTATCGTCCAGCCATTCTGAAATTAAAAGATAGTTGTATTAGAATAGGAAAATCAGAAACCGAGTTACTAATGAAATAGCGCTGAACGATTAGTCTAACTGAAAAAAAACATAGGAAATAATGGTATGAATAATTTAAAACGAAACATCTGCAGGAATAATGTTGAATTTTTAAGCAGATGTTGAAACAACAATGATATCCGAAAAAAAAAATATAAGATTATTATATACATTTCTGCTTCTCTTTGAAGCATTTATTACTTTAACTAGTATTGCATGTTTCATTGTTCGCAGGTTCTGCTTCATATTTTAATATACAGGATGGTCTCTGCAGTGGTTTCTTTTTGAAAGTTCAAAAAAGTGAACAAAAAGAAATTTTCCCGATATATATATTATTGGTTTATTCGAAAGAGCAAACATTTCTATTATTTATCGGACACGATTTAATTCATGTGGCCGCGTCGGCTGGCTTCGCAGTAACGCATCCTGTGGTGCGATTCACTACGCGATTCCAACAACTCTTGTTATTGTTAAGTCAGCTAAGTAGACGACAATTTTAACAATTTAGCTATTCAGCAAACGTTTCTGTTACAACATTCGTTAGAGCGAAATCAGCTGTTGTCGTTAACGATAACAAAGGCCGCTAATTTGACGACGACGGTTTTAGGTGCAGAATACACTATTAAAACAAGTAATATAAATTAAATAACAAAAAAAAATATAGTTTGTTAAAACTTGTCTATTACCTTGTTTATACCAACACATAAAGCGCTTTGACCCAGTTCGCTGTGATTCAAAACGGAAGCATAAACCAACTTTCAATACGCTCAGAAATTCGAAAGTTTATTGACTCGAATTTATTTTCAAATCGCTTTTTTATTTCTCACATCGCACTAAGGGTTATTTGAGGCAAAAAACCGGTCAAAAGTGGTTTTCCTAAAATTCATAAAATGACACAAACAATGCATGTTTAAATAAGTACGATGACCGGTTCACCGCCCCCCAGCTCACAAACCCGCATGTTTTACTGCGTCTGGCCACATAATCAGTCGGAACCTAGCCTTTGTGTGCAACGCGTGTCTTTGTTCTCGGCGCTTTTGATTATTTTACATATTTCTCTGTGTTAATATGTCTTCGTATGGTGAATTACCAGAAAAATTCGTATTGAATATGGATGTTGAAGGTATGTATTTTGTATAAAATTATGTTACAGTTAATTTCTCGTCAAAGTTCCGTATTTAGACTTACATATGTTGAAAATTTCCTTCTTAAAAACGTGGTGTTTTTAACAAAAGTTTAAAACAATAGTGTTTTTGTTTATGTGTCGGTCGGGCTTTGTCGCCTTACATTAAAAATGTGGTAATAAAGTTTGAACCTTTGCCTATCTGAATGAAAAATAAAATCTCCCCCCGGCCCACCCCAACCTTTTTAAATTTTTTTTTTAGTCAAAGGCAAAATTTTTCCAAATGTATTTTTTTCTTAAATTTTTTCTTTTATAATACGTCGAAAATCAAGCTAAAAATCTGTCACAATATTTTGCTGACAATGGTAGACGGAAAGGTCTGCAACTGCGCAACGGACACTGTATCAACTATGCGATGTTATATATGCGGCCAGACATCAAAGGATTTTAACAAACAAGAGAAAGATACCGTTAAAAAGGAAGCCCTAAAGTTTGCGCTCTCAGTACTCCATTCCAGAATACGCCTTTTTTTTAGACACTGCTGATTTAGCATATAAACAACTCCTCCAGAAGTGGCAAGCCCGTACACCGGAAGAGAAAAAGATTGTTAAAGAAACAAAAGAGAAATTACAAAAATCTCTCAGAGAAGAAATGGGTCTACTTGTTGATGTTCCTAAAGCTGGCTTTGGAAATAGCAATGACGGGAATACGTCCAGGAGATTTTTCCAAAATGCAGAATGCTCTTCTCGCATTACCGGCATCAACTTGGAATTAATCAATAAGTTTAAAGTGATTCTTGAGGTAATCTCAAGTGGCCATGAGGTTGATCACCAAAAATTTTATGATTATGCCCAAGACACTGCCAAACTGTATGTGGAATTATACGGTTGGCATCCAATGTCGCCTACAGTCCACAAAATTCTGATACACGGAGCGCAAGTGATGGCAGAAGCAATTCTGCCAATTAGACAATTGTCCGAGGAAGCCGCTGAGGCGCGAAATAAGCTTATTCGCAAATATCGGGTAGACTTTGCAAGAAAATTTTCGAGGACTGAGTGCAACAGAGACATTTTAAATAGATTACTTTTAACATCCGATCCTCTCTCAGCTCGAGTCGGCCAAAGAATAAAAAGAAAATCTTGCCATATTCCGCCGAGGCAAAACCCATTTTGATTGCTGCAACGAACTTAAATAGGTCGGACGACAATATTGTTGAAGATATTGATGATGAGGAAGAGGATTCGGATGTTAACAGCGAATCGGATGGCACTGACTCCGAATAAAATAAAATTTTCTAAAACTTTTACTTAAACATTTTTTTTTTTTTTTTTTTATGTATTTTTATTAATAAATCCAAAATATTTATTAGATATTGTTTTTTATTGTATTTTGAGAAAATATAGGCCCCTAAATAATTTGTAAATACATAATACATACATATAATATATAATACAAATACAGCCCGTTTTAAATTTGAATTATTATTATAACAAATTTGAATTCTTGTTCGCTTCCATTTCGGTACACCGTGCAAATTAATTATTTAAGAAATATCGAATAAAAATAACAAATTTTGTTTACTTTTGAATACGGTTTCAGCGAGTGCGCCATAACGACAAAGGTATAAATGTTTGAAAGAAATATGTGTTGAGGCAAATCAGCTTTTGTCAATGCGGTTCTTGGGTAGGTATAAACAAGGTATATATGTGTTCCGGTTATAATTTTCCAATAGGGTGTAAAACAAATATAGAAAACTGGAAGTTAAAAGGTGATAAGTCTATTTTTTAATCTTACAGGAACTGAATATGCCTTGAATTTAAAAGAATTGAATAATTAAAGTTTTCAATTTAATACGTGCGTGCCAAACGAACTTTTCTCTCAAAGTTTACACTGTTGGCAAATGTAAATAAGGATTAAAATTTAAAAACTAATTAATACAACTACAGTAAAATCTGTGGAAAATTAACAATAAAATACTTTTTTCGCAAAATCTATAAAGGACCCTTTTATTTCTCAAAAAAACCTGGGTAACAGTAATTCGTCGCCACGCTGTATATGTGCATATTTAAATATTTCTTTATTAATCATCATGACACTAGCATAATAAAATCAGTCTTGAAAATAAATATGTACAAAATGTGCAAAGTGATTTTTTTTAAATATTAACAATCTTTTTCATGTTAATGTTTTTTGCAAACTTTTGTTTACACCTGCGAGTAAAATATGGCAGCAAAATTCAAAATTATGTTGTTTGCTACTAATGTGCATTTATTTATTTTTAATAACTTCATTTTTAATAGTTCCATCTACTATATAACAACAGAAACCACATAAATAAAAGCTTCAAAGCTGGTACAAAATTCACAAAAATCAATCAAAACTAAATTTTATTCAGAATCTTTATAAGATTTTCGGGTATGCAGTTTTGTAGCCCTTTCAATTTTAGTCTAATAAAATGCAAGGTTCAAGTCGCTAAAAGTTACCGTTGATTTTTTAGAATCTTTTTTTGTGGAGGGTGTTGCGCATTTTCTTCGATATAAAATGCTTGTGAACTTTGTGCTCACACCAGCGCCTTGGCATACGCGACGCATTTGTGCCCATTAGCGGAAGCACAGTTAGTGAATCGCACAATCTTTACTGCAAACAACAAAAATTGTTAGCTTACAACTCGACAAGTCGCACTGTTAAAAGTTAGTGAATCGCACTACTGTTAACCCGGTTTTCCAAGACCTTGGTGGCAGTTTCTGGCTCTATCTCACGAATGGCTTGCTGGATAATCGCATTAAGGACACGAATTGTTAATGGATTGTTCACATAACATCGATTCTTCACGGCACCCTACACAGAAACGGCGACAAATCGGCATCCTGCTGAAATCAAAGATCATCTGGGTCCATGTCTTCAATTTGCCACTACAAAAAATCCTTTAGCCTCGCTTCGTCAGAAAGATAATATTTCGAGCAAAATCGTTGTCCATTTCGTTTGCATTCGCAACGTTGCAACGTTGTTCAAGCGTAAACCGATTAATTTCGTTCCGCGGAGATATGACACAAACTTTCTGTCAAGATTTCCAGCATAAGGCCTGTATGCAGCTCTTAAGAAAACGGTCAAGAAAAATTTGCCATTATTTCGTTTGTGTGTCCAAGGAATTTTGACATTTTTGATACTTCACAGCCTGTTGCCTCACTCTTTCCTCAAGAAATAATAAAACGGGCATATATTTCTGTTGCAAACCTGGGTTGCCTTGTGCTCTTTTTTCACAAAAAACTTTAGAAAACCGTAGTAGAAAGCGTAGCAAATTCCTTAAGAACTGCGTACTGCCTGAAGGAAATTTGACTCAAGAAAATTTCTTAGCCATTTCTTGTACGTCATTTTATATGGAGTTTTTGCTTTTCTTGAGAGCTGCACACAGGCCTATAAGAATTATGCATAAAATGTATATATAAATGCACAAAAAAAAATGCACTATACCAAATTTGCAAGAGCACGAAGAGCGAAATTCTGTATCAAATACAATAACCACGGTTGCTACACACTTAGAAAAAATTTTACCAAAATTTTTAAAAAATATTACCAAAAAGTTACCAAAAGTATTGAAATCCTTTTCCTTTTGTAATAAACAATGGGCGTTACATTTATAGTTTCAAGCTTATATGAAAGTTGCCACACAACTGTTTTATTTATCTATCGGTTGTCTTTGTTAGTAGCTCGACGTCATTATTATTGTTCATTTAATAAATAAAATAATAGTTATTTTTAAAATTTCAATTTAAAAAGTCAGTCGGAAAGAATTGGTCTTTTTAACATTTGTATATAGCAATGTGATGCTTGTTA